GCAATAAAGGAGAGTTCTAGTCTTTTCAGTTTAATGGCCACACCTCAGATGTTCTACTACATGGTGATGCTGATACAAAAGCAAACTGCTTTGTAACTTTTGCTTGTCAAAACTGTACATTCTTTTCTTTCTTTTTTTTTTTTGTGCAGAAAGGTGATTTTATTAAAGCACGGGGACCGGACCCTTGGGCAGAAAGAGCTGCCTTGGGGTTGTGAGGAATGACTGATTATATACTTGAGAGTTGGGGGAGATAAGGAAAAAGGGAGATGTCCAAAAGGACCTTCATATGCTAAAGAAACTCTCAGGATACTGGAGGCCTGGCTATTGTCAAGCTAAGGTGGGTTTTCCCTCTTTCCTCCACCTTTCCTAACTCCCCTATATGTTCCCCAGCTGACCAATACTGACCCACAGGTAGGGACATTTCTACACCCCTCTTCAGCAGGAAGGGATTACAGAAGATGAGACCTTCTGCCTTCACCAACCTTAAAGATTATGGGTCAACATTGGGGAGAAATGATGAGGGAGCAGAAGGCAAGTTGAGGACAAAGAACAAGCTGACACCCTGCAAAATCCTACTCTGCTCTTAAGACCAAGTTCAAATTATATCTCTGCCAAGAAATCTTAGTCTCTTCAGTTGATTCTAATCTTTCTTGTTGGTGTTCCCAAAAGGCTTCAGAGATTTATATGTATACTTAATACATTCACCAATGCGTTTGACAAAGATTTGCCTATGGACACTCACTGTACTGGGGACATGCAAACAGGAGTAGGACCATGCTCTCAAGAGGCTCAAAGTCAAGTGAGTTGCCATGTATTATAATTATTTATCACCTGTGTCCCAGCACTAGGAATGTCAAGTTCAAGTTCTGTGAAGCAGAGACTTGTTTTTGCTCGTTATTGTATTCCCAATATTTATAAGAGTGCCTAGCACAGAGTGGATGCTCAGTAAACACTGGATATGAAATTACATAGTTCTTTGTGCATGTGTGTGTATATATGTTTTCTTACTCAATTATTACAGACTATGTATTTCTTGGGGATAGATGATGGTTTCTGTTTATCTTTTATCTTTCCCACAGCACCTAGCTTAGTGTCTTACACATAGCAATGTCTGACATTGAACTCAATATCATTTTCAATTCAGCCTTAAGTGAATTCACTAAATTATTAAAGCTTACAGCTTTTGTGCTCTTAAGCATAGAGAACCATCCCTGTGAATTACATTTATAAAGTCTCAGAAAATTCTTTTAATGAGAAGACAATATGGAGGAAGGAAAATAGGCAAATTTTAGAGCTCAGTGAGATTTGGCCTAGAAGAATTATTCACAAGAAAAAGGATAGTGAACGGAATGGGAAAAATGGGGTAGAGGACAGGGACTGATTTTTAAAATAAAGGCCATACAAACATGCTCCCCATTAAAAAAAATAATAATAAAAAGAAGGAAGAAATGAAAACTGTCTTTGTTAAATAAGAAACACGGCAGTTCCTCAGGGCATGAATAGAGTAATCTGTCCAGCATGCCAGGTTCCCCCAGTCTGTCCAGCTATTACTCAGAGGCAAAAGATCTAGAGACACGGACAGAGGACAGCCCTCCAGACCAGTGGCTCACAAGCTAAACTGCATCCAAGAATCCCCTTGGGAGCCTTTTAAGAAACACTGATGTCTGGACCCACCCACTGAGCTGCTGATTTAGCTGGTTTGAAGAGGGCCCCAACAATCGCATTTCTGAAAAATCCCCCAAGAGATACTGGGAGACTGGGCTTGAGAAGCACTGCTTTGGACAAAGGGTATGGCTAAGGAGAAATCTGCTATAGAAAGGACAAGATCTGGACTAGAAAGCCTTGGATTGCAGTCCAGACTCTGGGTGGGTCATTCATTTCTCTTTCTTTCTGTCTCTAGAATCTCAAAGGCAAAAGGAGATCTAACAAGGCTGTTGGAAGGACAGAGAAAGAACAATGTGAAAGGCAGTGAAACATCGCAGAGTCATTAAGTGATGTGCAAATATTTACTTAATATCACCACTAGGACCGCCAGTCCTTTAGGTCTGGGTTGATAATCTGTGCAGAATCCCACGCGGAAAATGATTAATATGAGCCAAATGAAAAGTTACATTTTCATGATAACAAATCCAGAGTGGAATAAAAGAAACAATTAGGAAGCAGATGGTGATTCCCCTTTAATGAGACATGGTCCTAGAGAGATGGACTGGTAACCTCAGGAGCAAAGGCCCTTCATTAACTCTCATTTTAGTTAATTGCTATGTTCACAAAGTTAATCAACATGAGAGGGCAATCAATCTCAATCTCCTGGCTAACGCAGCCTGGACATTCTAGGCCAAAAGTAATTTAGCACCCCAGATTTTTATCATTTGACAAAAAAAACTGTCCTTTTACTTTACAGCTCTTCTGTAAGGTCTCCAGGTCCTAAATTAACTCCTGCCAAAGATACCTTATTCCTTCAAGGGAGATGTCTCCAACAAACAATTTATTGTTTTAAAATATGAATTAACAATAAAATACAAATTAGCCTATAATGGCAGTTAATTATTTTAAGGTCAAATAAATGTGTGAACAAAACTTATTTAAAAATTAGTCTGGTAAAAAGAAAAGAGTGTTTCCTAATGCAAATACCATGTTTTCAGCCTAAGGGCTAAAATTCCACCTAAACACTAATTTTTGGAAATCATAATTTCTAACAGATATGAGCTGGGTACTAAGCACCGTAAAAGCTGTCTCTAAGAGACAGGATTGTTCTCTGTCACTTTCTGTTAATGATGAGTCCTCCCCCCATAACCAAGAGAACACCTGCTGTAGGGATAGAACAATTTTAGTGCCAGGTCAGTTTCTTTGGTCATGGCCGACTGGTAATCACTGTCCAGGGGAAAAGGTACTGGGCTGCGAATAAGAAGGTCTGGCAACCTGGGGCATGTGTGCGTGTGTGTATGCGTGTGCGTGTGCGTGACGGTTAAGAGGTATGCCTCTTCAGTGATCTCTGCTTCAGTATGTCCATCCCACACCCTGGCAAAACCCCAGTGCTGACTCAGTTCTACCATCTGCCCCTTCCTGCACCAGGTGCAGCTGGTGTGCAAAGCTATCAGAGAGCAGTGCTGGCTGGTGCTGCCACCAACTCATGGTTTCCAATTGCAGTGTTGCTCAAAAAATGCTCCATCATCTCTTCCCGAATTCTCTCATCATTCAAGTATCAGCCTTTTGGCTTCTGTGTTTTCTCCTTTCCAAACTATTTTTCATAAAACAGCCAGAGTCATTTATTTAAATATACATACAAATGTACAAGCATTTCACTGTTCACAGCCCTTTAATGGCTCCCCATTGCACTGTGAATATAATCCAAACTCGTGCCATGTACGGGCTGGCCCCGTCTCCCTCTCAGACCTTATCTCAGGCCATTCTCCGCCTTGCTAATATGCTCCAACCACAACAGTCCCCTCTCAGTTTCTCACACAAGCTGGACTTTGTGTTTCTATCTGTTGTGGAATCAGTGTGTCCCCCCAACCACAGAACTTATACACCCACTGAAGCCCTAACCCCCAGTGTGGCCATACTGGGAGGCAGGGCCTCTAAGCAAATAACCAAGGTTAAATAAGGTCATAAGGGTGGGGCCCTGAACTGACAGGATTAGTGTCCTTGTAAGAAGACACACAAGAGAGCTAGTATGCATGTGTGCTTTCCTGCTCTTGCTCTCTCGCTCTCCTTCTGTCTCTTGCCAAGCAAACAACCAAGGAAAGGCCTTGTGAGGCTATAGTTAGAAGGCAGCTGTCCAAAGGCCAGGAAGAATTTCATTAGAAATTTAACTTGCCTGCACCTTGATCATCAATGTCTGGCGTTCAGAACTGTGAGAAAATAAATTTCTGTTGTTGAAGCCACCCAGCCTGTGGTGTTTTGTGGTAGCAGCCCAAGCAGACTTGTACACTGCCTCAGAGTTTTGAATATGTTCTATTTCCTTCTTTCTGGAGCCCCTCTTCCCTCTTCCTCAATTTCTTCCTATCTTCTCCTTCTCGACTTCTTTACTTCCCATTCTAATGTGTCCTCCACTCTAATAAGTAGCTCCCAAAGGTCATCAATTATTACCATTTTACCAAAGCCAATGGACGTTTATCATCTTATTTTGCTAGATCCCCTCTGTCCCTGTACCCTCCACTTCCTTGGCTTCAGCTGCACTACTTTCTCTAACTGCTTCCTTCCTGTGCTGTTTAAACGTCTCATGGAGGGGGTTGAGGGTGGGGGAAAAAGAACAATAAATGTCTTACGGCTTTAACCTGAATAATGTATTGATGATTCCCAAACCTATCTCAGTCATCTGAAGTAGATATGAATATTCAAGTGGCTGTTAATCATCTCTAACTGGAGAGTCCACAGGCATTTTTTTTTTTTTTAAGATTTTATATATTTTTTGAGGGAAAGAGAGAAAGCACAAGCAGGGGAAGAGCAGCAGAGGGAAAGGGAGAACCAGGCTCCCCGGCAAGCAGAGAGCCTGATGCGGGGCTCGATCCCAGGACCCTGGGATCATGACCTGAGCTGAAGGTAGATGCCCAACTGACTGAGCCACCCAGGCACCCCATATATAGGCATCCTAAATCAAGGTATCTATAATTAAACTCTTTATATTCCTCTGGAAACCAGTGTCTCTTTTTAATTTCTCTCTAGATAGTCTTTCTGAAATTTTTTTTTGTAAGTTCTAAGTCCAATGTGGGGCTTGAACTCACAACCCTGAGACCAAGAGCTGTGTGCTCAATCGACTGAGCCAGACAGGTACCTCTTAAATTTCTCAATCTAGTTCACAGTGCCACCCTTTGAACAAGAAACCTAAGGGCTTATTCTGCAATCCCCCTTCTTCCTCATCCACTGCTTGTGTTTTTTTATGCACCAGAGATGAATTAGTTATAATCTTTGCTTCATGACACTCTCATTATGCTAGTACCTTTGCAATATAACCATACCTTCCCATGGTTCCTTTTCTTCCTATAAACAAAGATACCTACCTTTCCTTCTTTGAAATGCTTCTTAAGCTGCTTCTGCATGGCGGTCAACTTCTTGGACTGCACCCCACTGTAGGCCAGCAGCATGCCACCAAACTGCCTCTCAGTAATTTTCCCATCCACAGGGTCATGGCGTTCGAACTGGGAGAGAAACAGAGTGTTCTTGGGGTCAAATGCGAAGTATTTTGACATGGAATGTGGAATGATCAAGCTGGATGCCAGAAAATAGTTGGTGGCCATAGAGACTGTTATTTTTGAACTGTAATTCTCACTAAGATTTGAAAAAAAATAATCAGAAACAGAAGATCTGGGTTCTTATTCCAGCTTTGTCAATATTTATGACTTTAGGAAAGTCACTCAACTTCTCTGGGCCTCAATATCCTCATGGATAAAACAGAGCTGCTATAACACCTTACACCTTACAGAGTGGGAGCATCATTGTGGGGATAAAAACGATGTTAAAACTCCATTCCAATTCATGAGTAATATTATTGGTAAGAAGTGCTCTCTGGATCATCCATGTCCCTGCTACTCAGAAATAACTTCAAAGCTAATTATGGCCCCCTGCCAGTACTTATTATAATCAATAAGGAATGACAAAGGAGGGGGATCCTCCCCCAGGAATCAAACTAGGGAAGACCATCTTCTTGTCACAGACTTAGAGGACTGGCAGCTGATTATGGAGCAGATGGGACCAGATTGAAGGAATGTAGTAAAACACTGATTCTCAAATCCCCCTGCCTTCTGGGAAATCAGGGCAGTCTCCCAGGAAATGGTGGAGGACACTGGCAGAAGCTCACTGAGCCCTTGGACAGGAACACTAGCACTGAGTGCTAGAGGTGAGGAGGGCCATGTAGAAGCTCCTCACAGTGGGAAGGAGGTGCTCTCAGACAGTGGGGAATATGCCAGAAACAAGATGTTAATGAAGGATGTCTATGGAAGTCACAGACACAAAACTCTTAAACAACTTTCACAAAACCTGCAATTATGTATGGTTAGGAATGAATGATAATGGGAACACGATAAATCAAATCTTAGACGGTATGGCCAAAGGTGATCTTCCAACTGCCCAAAATGTCCCCATAAAACTTCAGTTTGCCTAATCAAAAGAGAAAATCCTAACATACAAAATCAGAAATGATAAATTATTTAAAAAAAATACAGACACTGAAGATGAATTCACTTTATAATTTTAGGCTGTGATCTTAAATCTCAAGAAATGGAAGATATTTGGGGTGGGGAGGGACAGAGGGAGAGAGAGAATCTTAAGCAGGTTTCATGCCTAGCGCAGAGACCAATGGGGCTTGACTTTGACCCCACAACCCTGAGATCATGACCTGAGCCAAAATCAAGAGTCAGACAGTTAACCAACTGAGCTGCCCAGGTGCCCCAAGAATGGAAGATTCTTAAGAAAAATATTAATTACCCACCCTTCCAATTGAGTCAAGAAGTAGAAAATCTGAACAGGCCAATTACCATTAAAAAATACTCTGATAAAAAGCTAATTATAAATTTGATCAACTGTATATTTGTAAAGTCCTATCAGTTCCTCAATCTGTACTTAATATAACAATATTAATTGTTACACTCACACATTTAAAAGGAAAGTAATGCATTTCCAGGTTTTCCCCAAAATGGCAATCAAAGACTAAGACATCAACAGAGCTTAAAAAAAATACATAGTGTAGGATGTCTTAATTAGACATGCTTATTTACCACAAAACTACTGAAAAATCATTAAATACATTTAGATATGCAAATGGAAAGGTTAAGTATAAAGGGTGTCTAACTAATTTCAGTAATATCAAAAAACTAAAATTTTCATTAAAAAATAGAGACAGGAAAGGGTGCCTGGATGGCACAGTCAGTTAAGCATCTGACTCTTGGTTTCACCTCAGGTCATGATCTCAGGGTCGTGAGACTGGGCCCCAAGTCAGGCTCTATGCCAGGTGTGAAGCCTGCTTGCAATTCTCTCTCCCTTTCCCTCTGTCCCTTCCTGCCCTCTTAAAAAAAAAGGAAACAGCAAAGTTATTTCAGTGCTAGCTGCAGTGTTAATGAAACTTATAAATGCAAAAATAACAAAATGGCCAAAGATGAGCCCAGAAACGAATTAGAAAGAAAAAACAATTTGAAGATGGTAAACTATCCCTACAGTTTTATTGGAAAATAGATTACCAGGAAATTTAAGATTCTTATGTGGCAGGGCATAATCCTATTCTCATAAAAGGGATATTAGAAAGACATAAGACATTTACCAAGTAAGGTCATGTCAACAAACATTTCTGGAATGTCTACTAGTTATCTAGCACTGTGTTAGTCATTGTGGAGTACGGAAAAGATTCAGTTTCTGTCCTCAGGAACTTCATCTAGTAGGGAGACAAGACTTACATATGAGACACAAAATAAGGAAATATATAGTCAAGAGTGAAATGCTCTTTCAATTCTTATTTCCTTAGCACGGTAAGTTGATAGACACTCATACCCTCCCTAGTGAGACTATCAGTGAGCAGGACCCAAGAACTACATTACAACAACAACAATTTTCTGTACTATGGGCTAGGAACTTAGCCCATATATGACTTCATTTAATCATTTAACAACGCTATGGAGTAGATATTATCAGTTCCGTTTTACAGATGAGAAAACCGAGGCAACAGGTAGTTCCCTGTGGCAGAGCTGGGACTGCTCATAACCCAGCTCTGTTATGGGTCCAAAGATTCATTCTCAATATCATTCTCATCCTTCTAAGCAATGGTACATATTCATTCTATGGGGTAGCCCTGCACTGTTTTAGATAAACTAACACAGCCATGGGGCTTGGTCATACTTAAAACTATTGAGAAATTGCTCTTGAAGCAAAACTTCAAAACCATTTCCAAAGAAATCAACATCGTCAATATTAAGGGAAGGCCTCTTTTTTTATTAACTCAATTACTCAATGCTTCATTTTTGTTACCCCGTCACTTCTACAGAGCTGATTAATTTTTCTGATTAAGTTTTGACAGTATCAAAAGTTTTCAGTGTTCAATTTAAGTTTGATTTATGGTTCAATTTACCACCGTGAAACAAAAGGGAGGGTGGGTAAGAGTTCTGCAAGGCCATGTTTCCATCAGGTATCAGTGAAAAGTGGTACCCAGGCAGAAGCTGGAGATGCACAGGTCATCAAGGGGCTTCGAGAGGCGAGAGAAACGGAGCTGTGGTCCCCGCTCCCCCAGGCAGGCTTCAACAATTTAGGGTGTTCATTTTACCTTCATCTGGGAGACTGGACAACTAGGGAGAAATTCCATCTCTCTGCATTAGATGCGTCTGAGGCTTTCTCCTACATGACAGACTCAAGGATGAAATGCTTCTTGTTTTTAATGTCAGCAGCAACAGCAGCAGTGGCTTGCTCCAGGCTTATGAAAGGCCTGTATTCATCTGCTCTCCACAGGGGCATAAGGCCTCACCTCTGATTTTCAAAGACAACAAAGACAACTTCCAGGAGAAATTTCCGACTGACAATTCTAATACTCAAATTAATATTTTTATTAATGTTCTTCTGAGGACTCAGACTTGACTTTGGGCAACGGGTTCTACTATTGTCATTACTTTTGTGGCTGGAACCTGAAAGGGCCTCAAAACTAGAAAATTCAGCTCCATGAAGCCCACCTCAAAGTCACTACCTGCTCTGGAATTTGATTTCGGACAGCACTTCTCCTTTTAGGTTTTTAGGCTCCTTTGAGGCAAGACTGCCTTATTTCTGAGGTCTTTTTTTTTTTTTTTTTAAATTATTTATTTATTTGACAGAGAGAGAGAGAGAGAATGAGAGAGGGAATACAAGCAGGGGGAGTAGGAGAGGGAGTGCCTTTTATTTCCACTCCTGCTCAGCAGGAAGCCTGACACGGGGCTCGATCCCAGAACCCTGAGATCATGACCTGAGCTGAAGGCAGACACTTAATGACTAAGCCACCCAGGCACCTTATTTCTGAGATCTTAATGCAGCTGGAGGAGGTGGGAGAGAGTGGTTTTTCTTCACATACAAAACTGCTAATGGAAACTGGCTCGAACTAATGTGCTATTCATTCAACATTTATTAGCTGAAGACCTCCTACACTGAGACTCGGAAGCTTCAAGGGCAATTTCTCAAGGACCTTTGTTGGGGCTACATTTTCACAGGCTATCGCTAGATACCGTGTGGTTCTCAGGATGAACTGTATATCTTAAGCCCATAAAATCCTGGGGGTGCAACTCCTGGAGCACAGTGTGCATGTAATTCCCCAGGTCGTAAGACTGTCTTTGGGGAGAGAGGTTATTACAAAATTATCACAATGAAGAGAGAGCTTCCAGCTGTATATTTGGAAGCAATTCAAATGACTAGCTTGCATTTTACTTAGTCAAACATTGATAGAGCCTCTTATGTTCCACTTCAATAAGAAATCCCAATCTATTTGGTCTTGTGGCACAGAACATGTGCATTCCAGCACACCATCCACCATTTGTATTGCTTTTCTGTCTAGGAAGAGAGCGAACAGCTTAGCATTTTCTCTTCCGTGGCCACTATCACTTTCTCAAATGGATACAAGCTGTTGGCTCCCTGTCATTCCCTAGGCGGTTGCAAAGAGGGACCAAAGAAGAGGAGCCAAAAAACTGTCCATAAGGTTTTTCCTGGCTTTCTTTCCATATTGTGCCTTTTATTTCCACTTCTGCCCCTTGTTGAGAGAAGGAATAGCCTTTTGGAAGGACAGATGGTCTATATATCTAGATGAAATGATTTAAGGAATATGGGAAGCCAGAAAAAGAAGAAAATATGTATTATGAACCAAATAAAGATTTTAAAAAATCATAAAAGGAAATCAGTATCTACAAGTGGATCTTAATTTATTAAAGACATTTGACATTAATGTGTTTCAACAAATGTAAACTTCAACCGTATTCTCTTTTGTGCAGTTATTTTTCAGGAGATTTTATCTATCTCCTATGGTAAATCCTGCCCTTACACAAGTATTTCAGGATAATTTTCTTAATAGGCTTATTCTAGTTTCTGAACCACACAATGCAATTAATATAGAGTAATCTTAAGCCACTGAGATGAATACATCTGTTTTTCAACTTCATTGTATTTGTCTTTTGATTTTTTTTTTTTTTTAAGTAATCTCTACGCC